ATACTAATAGCACACTTGAATAAACTTCTTTTTCGTAAGGGACTGACTACAGGATGTTGTCTAATGGAACTCAAAGTGGAAAAAAAGTGCTAAAAAATAAAGTTCATTCAGTATAAAATGTGTCACGAAGGATTCATCCAATCAGAGTGCAGTTTATTGAATAACGTCAGTCAGTGCCTCGTAGTCAGCAAGAGACGAACTGTGAATGCTCCTACACAGAACTAATCTCTCCTTTTTCCATTATCCACTCAACCTAATCAACAGTAAACTCCTAACTTGTGTTACCAACACACCGGTGCAGATACAAATTCACCTGTTCCAGCACAAATACACAAGTACAGTCCTTACCTAATTCTCCAAAACAAAATGAGAAGTGAAATAAGAACACCAACACCGAATTAGTGTGTTCGATCAATTCATCAGTAAACTCCTTTCAGCTTCTTTTGTGAAATGAAACATGTTTGGAAATGAGAAGTTTGGAGAACAGATGTCTTTTTGGTTCAGGGTTCAGAATCTTTATCTCTAAACATGATTACAGGCCGTTGGAATAAAAAAAGTGTGAAAAATAAATAAATAAATAAATGAAGAACCCAAAGAAATACCACGCCAACACACATGATAAAAAAAAAAAATGTGGTTTTTTTTCTGGTTGTGTGAGCGTGTGTATGAAGGGCTTCATTTCCTCCTAACATGAATCTCACTTTATGACTTCCCCTAAAAACAGCTTTACTGTGAAATAAAAATGCATGCATTTGGCACTCTAACAGCTTCGTTTCGGAGTCAAAGTGAAAACTGCTGCGGTCTGAGTTTAATTCAGGGCAGTTCAGTGGCAGAACGACCCAAATGAATGTGGCTTCTTTTGAGTGGACACACATCTTGCTCTTATAAGGGCAGTTCACCCCTGGCAACATATAAAATGTGGGTGTCTTTGTGGTAGAAAGGCTATTTATTTTCTTATTAGGCTATTATTATTATTAAATCGGTAATGCATGACTAGGGAAACTTCAAGACCCAATGCACTGGGCGCTTCGTATGGTGCCGAATTTGGACTCCCTGCAAAATTATTACCCCCTCATTGAGGCGCATGATTGTATAATCTTACCCCCACCCCCGCACCTAACCCTAAACCTAACCATACTGGGGGCTGAGGAAGTTTTAATCTGCATAGGGCGGAGTGGGGAGGCTGATACTTGAGCGCGTTCATGGAGGCGCGACTGTGAGTTTTTTTTTTTTTTTTTCGTTCGG